ACCTGATCCTCGGCACAGCCGACTCCTCTAACTACAGGTCACTCGCTCTCAGCTCCACCTTCGGATGAGTCCGTAGAGCCGAGTGATCCTTACCCAGAGCTAGTTGGCTGCCTCATGTACCTGATGACTTGCACTCGTCCTGACCTCGCGTACCCTCTTGGCCTTCTGGCCCGCTACGTGGCTCCTGGTCGGCACCGAAAGGTGCACATAGATGCTGCGAAGAGGGTACTGCGCTACTTGTGCTTGGAGGGAGGAGTTCAGTTGTCCTCACTGGGCACTCAGACGCTTCTTGGGTTGAGGACCAAGCTACACAGCGGTTGTCACAGGGTTACACCTTCAGCCTTGGCTCTGGTTCAGTTTCTTGGCGTTCTACACGCTCGTCTTCAGTTCTCAGCTCCAGTTGTGAGGCTGAGATCTACGCCACAGCCATGGCTGCACAGGAGTTACGCTGTCTCACCTACTTGCTGACCAACTTGGGAGAGCAGCCTCGTTCTCCTCGAGTGCTGTACGTCGACAACAAGGCTGCCATTGCCTTGTGTGAGGAGCACAGACTGGAGCACAGAACGAAGCACATCGCTCTGCGTTACTTCCTGGCTCGAGAGTTGCAGCAGCGTGGTCAGCTTCGTCTTGCTTACGTGGCCACTCGGGCCAACACTGCTGATATATTCACCAAGGCACTTCAGTCTGGTGATCATAAGTGTTTCTGCACTATGCTAGGGCTTGTGCCCACTTTTCCTCACTTGCTGTAGGCGTTGCGTGTACTGTGATCTTTATATATGTACCTGCATGCTTGCTTTGCTAGGTAGAGATCACTGTGATGTTTGTGTCGCATAGATGCCTCTGCATGTGAACTGGCCTTGTGGCCCTTTGCTTGTGCTCAGTGAGTGTGGTGACGTTGTGATCCACCCTGAGCTTGCTTTGCCTTTCTTGACTGGTCTTGTGACCCCTTGCTCTCCCCCACTTTGCCTATGGGGGTGTGTCAAATGCTATATCTGCTACAGTTTGTTTAGGCTGTAGTGGGGTAGTTACTATGGGGTACAGTAAGTTTAGGGTTTCCTACTTGTACCCACCTCTTTCCTAGTGCACACACACTTGTTCATTTTGACATTTTGGGCTGGCCAAGGCGCCTGCGACCTTTTAGATGAATGCGTCATCGTTTACCTCGACGACAACTTAGTATACAACAGGAATAAGCAGCAACACTTAGCAGATTTGGAAGCAGTGTTTACAATCTTAGACGAGCGTCGGCTAATGACAGTGAAAGTGTGGCACCCCCCGACAAACATCACGGAGCTGCACAGTTTTTTAGGGTCCGTTAATTATGTGCGTCGATTCGTCCCCAACATGGCACGGTTAACTGCCGCGCTGACAGATTTACTCAGGAAGGGGGTCACTTTTACGTGGGGGGAGAAAGAGCATGCCGCCTTCTCTGCCCTAAAAAATGTTCTCTTCACCGCCCGTACTGCGCATTTCTGACCCACACCACCCATTTGAAGTGGTTACAGACGCAAGTTACATCGCCATTAGAGCCGTACTACTACAGGACTTCGACAACGGATTTCAGGCCATCGCATACGAGTCACGAAAACTGCATCCGGCCGAAAAATTTTACCCGATACACGACCGCGAAATGCTCGCGATCGTGCACGCCTTCAAAGTGTGGCACTGTTACTTGAGCGGCGCAAACGTGACAGTACGGACATTCCACAAATCATTACAATACCTCCGCGCACAGCCCCACCTCAACCCACGACAGATCCGCTGGCAAGACTTCCTTGAGTCAAATTTCCACTGCACGGTCACCTAAAAAAAAGGAGCTTCGAACATCGCCGACGCACTGACCCGCCCAACTGCCCAGATAAATGCCTTACTACTCGCCTAGACCAGCCCACTGCTTACGGGACTATTCACCCACGGATACCAGACAGACCCGTTCTTCACAAGAGGAAACTCGTTGCAGTTCGCACCAGCAGAAGGGGTCTATTACGTAAGAGTCGACACCTATCGCATATGGGTACCGGGTTACACCTTACTACGGGAATACTACTATAGGAGGCACATGACGGAGTTACCTCAGGACATTTCGGAGTAGAAAAAACACGGCAGCAGCTGCAGCAATACTACTAGTGGCCCGAGGTGATGACCGACGTGCAATGACACGTAGCATCGTGTCCCACCTGCCAGCTCATGAAGTCATCACGACAGCGACTGGCAAGACAGTTGTAGCCGATACCAACCCCATATCGTGCTTGGCAGCAGGTGACGATGGACTTCGTCACGGGGTTACTCGCTGGAGCAAGTGGGGATGGCGCGATCCTAGTCGCCGTCGATCGGCTGACGAAGATGGCACATTTTTCAGCCTACAAGAAATCAATCACAGTCGAAGAAACAGCCCGACTCTTCATCTCGACCTTCGCCGACTGCACGGAGTACCAGCAGCGATAATTAGCGATCGTGACACGAAATTCACCAGCAACTTCTGGCATAACATGTGGCAGCAGTTCAGCACGTGACTACAGTTCATCATACCACCCCCAAACTGATGATCAAACAGACGGGATCAATCAGACAATGGAGCAGTTAATCTGAGCCACGTGCGACGACTTGGCAACTTGGGAGCAGCAGCTGCCACTCATCGAATTCGCGTACAACAACTTCACGTCAGCCACGACACATCAGTCGCCGTTTTACCCCGAATCCACAACCCAATCCCACGCGCACAACAGTTCGTCGAAACAGCCCCCCAAGACCCGAGCAGTAGACGCCATTAAAAAATCCAACATCATCGCTAAGCGCAACACCGATCGCCACCCCGTCACTTACCAGCCTGACGATCTCGTGTTACACGACACCCAAAACCTCCGCCTGCCCATTACTCTGAAACTCCGCCCACGATATTGCGGGCCTTTCCGAATCAGCCGCATGATTACATCCGTCACTGCCCACCAACTCCTCCTTGTTGACTAGTACGTCAGCCAGTCATTCCATGTCAGTCTGCTCTGCCCGTACGTCCCGTTCACCAGCCAAATACCTCGCACCCGCCCAGCCAGCATGACATGACCACTAACAGAGCCGATCATGACGCCTGAGAAAATCCTGAGCCATCGAGTTTGTGACTCACATGGAGGATTGAATTACCAATTCGATGGAAAGACCGCACGCCCACTGAAGACAACTGGGTGCCCCTAAACAGGGCTGAGAATCACCCTATCCTCACCGAGTATATGCGCAGCCGCAAATTCCGAGATATGCACGTATTTTCGTAAGGAGGACCTCATTAAGGAGGACCTCATCCTTACTCCGCATCCCTGCTTATCGCGTACACGACTGTTCCCGCCAATAGTACCCAACAGTGCACCGTTATTACTCGCGCCACTCGCCTCGACCACTGTTCCTGCCACTGTTCACGACGCGACCCAACCTCACGGTTCAGTTGGTAACCCGCGCTCCGTACCTCCGCCTCGGCATTTCCCAACCTCGGCGCTAGGCACGCAATGCACCCCAATTTCTCGTGTTACCGTTACCACGCTCGCTTCGCTATATAGTCTTCGCTCATTCCTTCGCTCAATGGAGTTTTTGCTTCGATAGTGCAATTCTCGCTCGCTCACTCAATTGCTCTCGTAACAAAAGCCCACTTAGCCGTTGAGAATTAGTTTAGAGAACTGCTGTGGTTGATTCTATAAATAGCCACCTGCCAAAGTGGTGTAGCTGTAATGGAAAACCCGTGTACACCAATGGAGGAAGAGAGGAAGTGGCATCATTGTTTCCTCTCATTGGTGTAGCGTTCTTGACTAAACCAATCCTCCAATCACAAGCTGCGACGTACATGTGGTGGTCGGCGCTGTCACACGACCCCGAACCCAGCTCCTTTCGTCCTTTCAACTTTCGCAAAACCGGCGATTCCCCAAGTTTTTTCGTCGGAACTTGTTGCTGTCACAAACCCTCTGGGTGTGTTTTGGGGACCCTGCCAGATTCAAGTTTAATCCAAGGCTACCCTGTCAAACCCTAGTGTTTGAAGTAAATGAGCAGGGTCGGTGCCCTTGAGGCTCGAACTTCGCTGTATTTCGTAAATGCTCGGGCTGCGTGAAGGGTAATCCGTACAATAACCCCCTGTCCTGGTTTTGGGAAGCAATTCTTCAGATTCCTCTGAAATAGGGGTAGCCATGGTAAACCATCCTGTTATGTCATCCCGAGCCACAGTCACTGTATCGTCACTCCCAAAGCTCTCTCGTCTCCCTCTGCACCCATATCGGCCACCGCCTTGCCTCCCACACTATTGTTCCTCAACAAAACGATTGCTGGAAGGTCACTGTTTGGGAGGTGATTGTTGCATAACTTTCGTTGCAAGGCAAGATAACTTCGTATTCCAGCCTTCTGCAATGCGCTCGTGCCGCTCGTCGCGGCATTGCCTTGACTTAATGCTAGCCTCATTGCTCCTCGCATCTTTAAGAACTTGGCGATAGCCGCTTCCGTTCTCTCAGCGCACGCCGGCTGTTTTCACTGCCGTCGCTGATCATTCGCTCTTGCGTGCTAGGTCAACTTTCCGCTTGTTGGCCCTGGCCATCCGTCAATGCCTTTCGCCGTACGCTAGAGCATGCAATCTCGAAGTCGCGTAATGCTCATCGCCGATGTACGTCGTATGCGCGATCGCCGTAACTGAACAGCTCCACCTTTCTTCCGCATTGAACTCATCGCTATCCACCCGGCACAACCCCATAATCTCGCATCACTGACGTGGATAGCAGTCAAGCGAAGGGTATAGGCGCGGTCGATAGCGTTCGAGGGCATCGGCTCCACATTGTCGTCGATAGCATTCGCGAGCAGGATTGGCATTCGAACTTGTACTACGGTACCGAGCAGCGCATTCTCGGCAAACCTGGAGCTCGATGAAGCGCGGCTGCGGGTAGCCGCCAGTCGCGATCGGTAGAGGCGAACGTCGATTATTAAAGTCGTGATCGGAAGAGTTTCCGCCTCTGCGAGCAGCCGTTCCGCGCTCAGCCATGGTGAGTGCAGAGCATCCCATGGTGTTGCAATGGTGTTCAATGATTGTGTGTCGGGCATCCAATGGTGTTCTGTGGGGTACCCATCGGTGAAATGTGAACATCAAGTGGTGAACGGTGTAGCATCACAAGACGACGAGGCGCGGCCGGGTGAACATACAACGTGCCGTCTGCGGCGATCTGTCCGTGACCGTCGATTTTGTGAAATCAACAGCCTTGAAATTCGAAGCGGCGGGTAGCGGCGCGCTCGCGCCCGCGACGAACGTCTGCCGGCCGACGTTGGAGTCGTTTTTGAGAATTCTCAAACGTGTTTCCCAAATGGCCGACGTGCTCCTCTTCCTGCTTTTGCCGTTGCTGCTTCGCCGCGCCAACAACAACAGCCGCGCGCAACCCTGGCGCGCAAGAAAACCCAAGAAACGTGTGACGCAGCTCGTGCGTGGCGCGTGGGACGTCTCTCATTGTCGCGCGCCGTGTCACATCGATACTTCCCCCTCTGCCACCTTCCCCGACCCAACTCCGAGCGGAGAGGGGAGGGCGGAGAGCACGTTTCTCGCTTTCCGCCCTCTTCTTCCCCCTGCCTAGCGGATGGAAGTGCGATCCAGCGCCATGTATTGTCTGTATCGTTGCCCGCTGTCCGGATTCCTCATCCATCCTCCTTTCTCTACCCCTCTTTTCCCTTGCGCAACCCCCTTTTTCCCTTGCGCTACCCCCGTTTTCCCTTGCGCAACCCCCTTTTTCCCTTGCGCTACCCCCGTTTTCCCTTGCGCTACCCCCGTTTTCCCTTGCGCTACCCCCGTTTTCCCTTGCGCTACCCCCGTTTTCCCTTGCGCTACCCCCTTTTCCCCTTGCGCTAACCCCGTTTTCCCTTGCGCTACCCCCTTTTTCCCTTGCGCTACCCCCGTTTTCCCTTGCACTACCCCTTTTCTTATCAAGTTGCACGAACCCCATTTTCCTTTGCACTACCTCCCGTTTCCCTTGCGCTACCCCCGTTTTCCCTTGCGTTACACCCAGTTTTCCTTGCTCTACCCCCTTCTCCCTTGCGCTACCCGCTTTTGAATGCGTGCCCCCATGCTTCCCCTGCCCAATTCGCCGTCCCGCGCATGACCCACCTTCTCCCCGCGCGGACCACCGCCGCCATCGCGATTCCCGCCTTCCTTCCCCCAACTTTCCAATCCAGATTCGCCCCATCCCTTGTCCCTTTGTTTCTTCCCCCGTCTGTCCCATCCTCGTGTAGGCCTCGCAGCAAAACGTGTCCACAGTGGGGCGGAAGTACAAGTCGAAGGTGTGCCTGCCCGATGCAGTGCGCCCATCCAATTTGGCCCCTCCTTTTGTCTTGCTCTTTCCTGTCGTCCTGCCGTCCTGCCGTTTTCTCCCCCATCCCCCCTCCCCCTTCATCCTGCAGGCCTCCCAGACGTGTGGGGTTCGTTTTAAGGTGTGGGCGCCCGGCGCAGTGCGCCAATGCAGTTCGCCCCCTCCCCTTGTCTGTTTCCATCCGGTTCTGCCTGACCTCCCCCGCTTCTGCCTGTCCCCGGTGCGTGCAGGGTTCACAGCAGCACCTATCCACGGTGGGCTTCAAGGTGTGGGTGGCCGATGCCTAAACTCCTGTTGCCCAGTGCCCCGCCCGTTGCCCATTCGTTTCCTGCCCCCCTCCCCTGCCCTATCTCTCCCCGTCCTCCAGGGTTCACAGCAGCACCTGTTCACGGTGGGGTCGAAGGTGTGGGTGCCGGATGCCGCGGATGCGTGGGAGGAGGGCGAGGTGGTGGCGAGGGACCGCGGGAGCTCCCAGCTCACTGTGGCGCTCGGCACAGGCGGCAAGGGCCAGGCGAGTACGACGCAAGGCATAGGAGGGGCCGGGGAACAGGGGAATGTGGGGGGGAGGGGAGGGGGGGCAGTAGCTGTACGGAACGGAGGGGGCCACAGCTCACTGTGGTGCTGGGGTGGACGCTTCAAGGGCCAGGCAGGTAGGAGATGAGTCACCACGAGGGGGGTTTTGGGACAGTAGCTGTGTGGAAGGGGGAAAGGGGACAGGTAGGTGAATCACCGTGCGGCTGGGCGGATGCGGCAAGTGACAGTGGGGTAGGAGATGGGGGAGCAGGGGAGGTGGCAGGTCAGGCCAGGCCAGGCCAGGGCAGGGCATGCGAATCACATAGAGGGATTCAGCGAGAGGGGAGGGTAGCAGAAGCAGTGTGGAAGGAAGGGCGGGAGTGAGTTGCTGACTCACCGTGGGGCTGGACAGAGGCGGCAAGGGTCAAGCGGGTTTGAAATGGGGGAGCAGGGAAGGTGGCTGGCAGGGGGGCGGGGGACATGTGAGTTGCAGAAAGGGAGTGACTCAGTCAGCGGGCGGGGGGGGCAGGTGACTGGCAGTGAGGCTGGGAGGGGCAGGAGGGGAGTGGTGAAGACCCTTCAACTCCGTCCCCTCCTCTCTATAAAATAACACCTCTGTTCAATATAGTGTTTACCCCATGCCTTATCCCCATCCCATACGTCATTCGCGCCCCACCGTATACCATCTCCATTCATGAAAGGGCTGGAGGAGAGTAGCTTTAGCGTCTCTGAGGTGGAGGTCACCCGTGAGTCTCTCTGTACACCCCCTCTCCTCCCTCACATCCCATCCTCTTCCCCCCCTCCTCTTTCCCCTCCCCGACTCTCGTCCCTCCCTTCCCTTCCCCTCCTTTCCTTTCCCCTCTCCTCTCCTCCCCTCCCCACCCCTGCTCTCCCATCCCCTCCCTCCCGTGCCCTCACCCCTGCTGTGCGTGCCATGCGCGGCAGGTGGTGGTGGGCGAGGGCGAGTGCTACGCGCGCGAGGAGGAGAGCGCGGTGGTGGACGACATGGTCAAGCTGGCGTACCTGCACGAGCCGGGCGTGCTGCACAACCTCATGCAGCGCTACCACCGCAACCTCATCTATGTGCGTAAGGGGAGGGGGGAAGGGGCATCCCGTACATGTGCTGTGGTATGCCTGTATGTATACATGTATGTGTGCTGTGGTATGCCTGTATGTACACATGTATGTGTGCTGTGGTATGCCTGTATGTACACATGTATGTGTGCTGTGGTATGCCTGTATGTACACATGTATGTGTGCTGTGGTATGCCTGTATGTACACATGTATGTGTGCTGTGGCGCCCTGCACAAGCTCTTGTCTCCCCCTCCCCCCACCTCGTTTCCCCCGGAACCTCGTTTCCCCCGGAACCTCGTTTCCCCCGGAACCTCGTTTCCCCCGGAACCTCGTTCATCTCCTGCCCTGCAGACGTGGCACCCCCTCCCTCCTCCTCTCCCCTCCCACTTCCCCAGACATGCATGGGGCGGCATCCTGATAGCAGCCAGCCCCTTCATGTGGCTGCCAGGCACCTACGACCGTCACATGCGCCACACCTCTTCATAGCAGTGCAGTGCGCTAGTATAGTGCGGTGCGCTGCATAACACGCAGGTGCTCCGCTCCCTCCATGCGTGTGTCCCTCTCTACCCCTCCCAGACGTACACGGGCAGCATCCTGATAGCGGCGAACCCCTTCATGCGTCTGCCGGGCATCTACGATCGGGACATGCGCGACGCCTACCGGGGGCAGCCACTGGGCGAGCTCAGCCCCCACGTGTTTGCCATCGCTGACAACGCTTACAGGTGGGGGTGGGGGTATGTAGGCATGATCATCCTGCCCCGGCGGGTCGGGTCGACCCGACCCGACCCGGGTTTTGACCCGGGTCGGGTCAGGCATTTTGAAGCGCTGGCCCGGCCGGGTCGGGTCGGGTTTACCCGGTCGGGTCGGGTCGACCCGACACCCGAAACCGGGTCGGGTCGGGTCGGGTCAGATTTAGACCCGAAGTCGTACCCGACCCGGTTTCGGGTACCGCGCCCTAAGTCGGGTCGAGTATTTGGCCCGACCCGACTTTTCCTCCCTCGACAATTTGCACTAAAGCAGATCGCGAAGTCAATGTCTAGGGTTTGTTTGTTCCCTCGACATTGACTTCGATCTGCAATACCTAGGCAGCTAGCAAGCAATCGTTCTCAAGCTCTACTACTTTCTAAACCCGCGCCCATGTTAAGGAACACTATTACTAGTGTTTCCATGTTGGCGTAAGGGTCTTTTGAACCTAGCGCGACCAGGCAGAGATATTCGATTCTATAGAAATAGTTATTCTTAGCTCTCACAAGCGACTAAACTCTGGTCCCGCGTTCTAATCGCCCCCTGCGCGCCTACCAGGCCCGCATCGATAGTGACGCGACCCCCCATAGTCTAGTTACAAAATGGAGGACGTTCATATAATAATATTACACAAACATTCAATCAGTGCAACACCGCACAGTAGTAAGGAGAACCTCTTACCCTGCATATGGGGTCCTGGCCCGACCCGACCCGACCCGGCCCCTACCCGACCCGACCCGGGGGCGGGTCACGCCTGACCCGGCACCCGATACCCGGGTCGGGCCAGGATTTTTTGAAGTTCCGACCCGACCCGACCCGACCCGGAACCCGGCTGGCCCTCCCAAGTCGGGTCGGGTCGGGTCGGGTCGGGCCTAATGATCATGCCTAGGGGTATGGTGCAAAGTTTTACGTCAACTGAAGAGTGACATGCGTGACGCCAACCGAGGCCAGTTACTGGGCGACCTCGCCCCCACCTCTGGTTTTTGAGAATTCTCAAAAACCAGCTCGCCCCCACCTCTGTGCCATCGCCCACAATGCGTACAGGTGGGGATGAGAGGGTGGTGCTGGCAACCTGGAAACGCGTATAGGTGAGGGGGGTGCTCACGATGCCTACATGTGAGGTCTCAGGTGAATTCTCAGGTGCCAGGCATGTACGTGGGAGAGCTGAGTTGAAGGGAAATGTGAGATGAGAGCGATGTGTGAAGCCTTCTAGCGTGCTGAGCACATGGGCAAGCTCATCCCACCCCCTCGTGCCCCCTCCCCTCATGCCCGCCCCCTCATGCCCCCTCCCCTCGTGCCCCCTCCGCTCGAGCCCCCTCCCCTCGTGACCCCTCCCCTCGTGCCCCCTCCCCTCGTGCTCCCTCCCCTCGTGCCCCCTCCCCTCGTGCCCCCTCTTCTCGTGCCCCCTCCCCTCGTGCCCCCTCCCCTCGTGCCCCCTCCCCTCGTGCCCCCTCCCCTCGTGCCCCCACCCCTCGTGCCCCCTCCCCTCGTGCCCCCTCCCCTCGTGCCCCCTCCCCTCATGCCCGCCCCCTCGTGCCCGCCCCCTCATGCCCGCCCCACCATCTCCGCCCCCCCTCCCATGCCCGCCCCACATGCATTCCCTCGGCGGAGCGCAGAGCGATGCGCGAGGAGCGGCGCAGCCAGTCGATTTTGATCAGCGGGGAGAGCGGGGCGGGCAAGACGGAGACGACGAAGCTGGTGATGGAATACCTGGCGTCCGTGGGGGGGCGCGCGGACAGCGATGGCGAGCGCAGCATTGAAAACCAAGTGCTGGAGGTGAGCAAGGGGGGGGAAGGGCTTACAAGAAACTTGGGGCGAGACTTCAGAGGGGGACGGAGGGGTAGGGCTGTGGAAACGGGAGGGGGAGGGTAGGTGGGGGGAGTGGGAGTAAAGGGAGAGAAAGGGGTGAGGACGGGCTGGGATGCAGAGCAGCGGTCAAGATGGAGGCAAGGCAGTGAAGCTGGTGATGGAGGTTGTGGGGGGCCATGCGGATATTGAGGGAAAGCGCAGCACTGATAACCAAGTGCTGGAGGTGAGATGGGGGAGGGACTGCGACGCACCTGAAATGAGGTGAGAGGGGCAGTGAGAAGCAATGAAGCAAATGGTGGAGGTGCGAGAGGGTGAGGCCATCAGCGGAGCAATCAGAGGCACGCAGAGAGCGAGGCAGGGACAGACGGGAGGAGGAAAGTGAGTGACGTGACAGTAGGCAAGGGCGGGAGGCAGAGTAGATGCATGGCAACGACAATGGTGACTCATGAGCAAGCGAGTGTGGCTGGCTGGAACCATGAAGGTGAAGCCACGAGGGGCAAGAGAGGCAAGCGAGGCCAGAGGGGTAAGAGGGGCGAGGTTGTGTGAGGCAAATTTGGAGTGTTGCAACACTTTCTCTTATTTCACCACGATGCCATCCTCCTCCTCGCCTGCCCTTCTCTTCTTCCGCCTCTTGATTCAGAACTTGAAACCCGCTCCCACTCCCTCCTCCAATGTTCCACCCCTTTCCAACATTGGAACATTGGAACACTTGTCTTTTATTCTTCCGCTCCCTTCCCCCTTCCCCTCCCTCTCTTGCTCTTCTGATCGTCCTGCTATTGCCCCGCAACAGTCCAATCCACTGCTGGAGGCGTTTGGGAATGCCAAGACAGTGCGCAATGACAACTCCAGGTGGGACGCGGTGCAGGGAGATGTACAGAGGCGCGATGAGTGCAGGGGGATGAGTAAAGGGGGATAAGTGCCAAGGGGAAGAAAAACTGGGGATGAGTGCAGTGGGGAAGAGTGCGAGGTAGCAGGTGTGTGGCGATCTATCCAGGCAGTTGAGGTTTCTCCGTATGTTGAGCCCTGAGCACAAGTAGATGCACGTCGTCCTTCTCCTTCCTTCCATTCGTTGCCCCTGCCTCCCCTGTCCCCGTCGCCCTGCTTGTGTCTTCCACTCTCTCCCTCAGACCACCTGTGTGCTGGCTGGGCGCCAGTCACTTTGGCAAGGTCATAGAGATCCAGTTTGACGAGCGAGGCTGCGTGTCATCGAGCATTCACGGCACCCTCATTTTCCCTTCCATTGCTTCCTTTACCCGCCATCCTCTGCCCCTCACCCGTGCCGCCAGTCGCTTTGGCAAGTTCATCGAGATCCAGTTTGACGAGCGAGGCCGTGTGTCAGGAGCAGGCATCCGGGCGTACCTGCTGGAGCGATCACGGGTGGTGCAGATCGCGGACCCCGAGAGGAACTACCACTGCTTCTACCAGCTCTGCGACGGGGCCTCCCCCGAGGTCAGTGCTCTGCGACGGGGCCTCCCCCGAGGTCAGTGCTCTGCGACGGGGCCTCCCCCGAGGTCAGTGCTCTGCGACGGGGCCTCCCCCGAGGTCAGTGCTCTGCGACGGGGCCTCCCCCGAGGTCAGTGCTCTGCGACGGGGCCTCCCCCGAGGTCAGTGCTCTGCGACGGGGCCTCCCCCGAGGTCAGTGCTCTGCGACGGGGCCTCCCCCGAGGTCAGTGCTCTGCGACGGGGCCTCCCCCGAGGTCAGTGCTCTGCGACGGGGCCTCCCCCGAGGTCAGTGCTCTGCGACGGGGCCTCCCCCGAGGTCAGTGCTCTGCGACGGGGCCTCCCCCGAGGTCAGTGCTCTGCGACGCGGCCTCCCCCGAGGTCAGTGCTCTGCGACGGGGCCTCCCCCGAGGTCAGTGCTCTGCGATGGGGCCTCCCCCGAGGTCAGTGCTCTGCGACGGGGCCTCCCCCGAGGTCAGTGCTCTGCGACGGGGCCTCCCCCGAGGTCAGTGCTCTGCTACGGGGCCTCCCCCGAGGTCAGTGCTCTGCGACGGGGCCTCCCCCGAGGTCAGTGCTCTGCGACGGGGCCTCCCCCGAGGTCAGTGCTCTGCGACGGGGCCTCCCCCGAGGTCAGTGCTCTGCGACGGGGCCTCCCCCGAGGTCAGTGCTCTGCGACGGGGCCTCCCCCGAGGTCAGTGCTCTGCGACGGGGCCTCCCCCGAGGTCAGTGCTCTGCGACGGGGCCTCCCCCGAGGTCAGTGCTCTGCGACGGGGCCTCCCCCGAGGTCAGTGCTCTGCGACGGGGCCTCCCCCGAGGTCAGTGCTCTGCGACGGGGCCTCCCCCGAGGTCAGTGCTCTGCGACGGGGCCTCCCCCGAGGTCAGTGCTCTGCGACGGGGCCTCCCCCGAGGTCAGTGCTCTGCGACGGGGCCTCCCCCGAGGTCAGTGCTCTGCGACGGGGCCTCCCCCGAGGTCAGTGCTCTGCGACGGGGCCTCCCCCGAGGTCAGTGCTCTGCGACGGGGCCTCCCCCGAGGTCAGTGCTCTGCGACGGGGCCTCCCCCGAGGTCAGTGCTCTGCGACGGGGCCTCCCCCGAGGTCAGTGCTCGCCGACGGGGCCTCCCCCGAGGTCAGTGCTCTGCGGCGGGGCCTCCCCCGAGGTCAGTGCTCTGCGACGGGGCCTCCCCCGAGGTCAGTGCTCTGCGACGGGGCCTCCCCCGAGGTCAGTGCTCTGCGATGGGGCCTCCCCCGAGGTCAGTGCTCTGCGACGGGGCCTCCCCCGAGGTCAGTGCTCTGCGACGGGGCCTCCCCCGAGGTCAGTGCTCTGCGACGGGGCCTCCCCCGAGGTCAGTGCTCTGCGACGGGGCCTCCCCCGAGGTCAGTGCTCTGCGACGGGGCCTCCCCCGAGGTCAGTGCTCTGCGACGGGGCCTCCCCCGAGGTCAGTGCTCTGCGACGGGGCCTCCCCCGAGGTCAGTGCTCTGCGACGAGGCCTCCCCCGAGGTCAGTGCTCTGCGACGGGGCCTCCCCCGAGGTCAGTGCTCTGCGACGGGGCCTCCCCCGAGGTCAGTGCTCTGCGACGGGGCCTCCCCCGAGGTCAGTGCTCTGCGACGGGGCCTCCCCCGAGGTCAGTGCTCTGCGACGGGGCCTCCCCCGAGGTCAGTGCTCTGCGACGGGGCCTCCCCCGAGGTCAGTGCTCTGCGACGGGGCCTCCCCCGAGGTCAGTGCTCTGCGACGGGGCCTCCCCCGAGGTCAGTGCTCTGCGACGGGGCCTCCCCCGAGGTCAGTGCTCTGCGACGGGGCCTCCCCCGAGGTCAGTGCTCTGCGACGGGGCCTCCCCCGAGGTCAGTGCTCTGCGACGGGGCCTCCCCCGAGGTCAGTGCTCTGCGACGGGGCCTCCCCCGAGGTCAGTGCTCTGCGACGGGGCCTCCCCCGAGGTCAGTGCTCTGCGACGGGGCCTCCCCCGAGGTCAGTGCTCTGCGACGGGGCCTCCCCCGAGGTCAGTGCTCTGCGACGGGGCCTCCCCCGAGGTCAGTGCTCTGCGACGGGGCCTCCCCCGAGGTCAGTGCTCTGCGACGGGGCCTCCCCCGAGGTCAGTGCTCTGCGACGGGGCCTCCCCCGAGGTCAGTGCTCTGCGACGGGGCCTCCCCCGAGGTCAGTGCTCTGCGACGGGGCCTCCCCCGAGGTCAGTGCTCTGCGACGGGGCCTCCCCCGAGGTCAGTGCTCTGCGACGGGGCCTCCCCCGAGGTCAGTGCTCTGCGACGGGGCCTCCCCCGAGGTCAGTGCTCTGCGACGGGGCCTCCCCCGAGGTCAGTGCTCTGCGACGGGGCCTCCCCCGAGGTCAGTGCTCTGCGACGGGGCCTCCCCCGAGGTCAGTGCTCTGCGACGGGGCCTCCCCCGAGGTCAGTGCTCTGCGACGGGGCCTCCCCCGAGGTCAGTGCTCTGCGACGGGGCCTCCCCCGAGGTCAGTGCTCTGCGACGGGGCCTCCCCCGAGGTCAGTGCTCTGCGACGGGGCCTCCCCCGAGGTCAGTGCTCTGCGACGGGGCCTCCCCCGAGGTCAGTGCTCTGCGACGGGGCCTCCCCCGAGGTCAGTGCTCTGCGACGGGGCCTCCCCCGAGGTCAGTGCTCTGCGACGGGGCCTCCCCCGAGGTCAGTGCTCTGCGACGGGGCCTCCCCCGAGGTCAGTGCTCTGCGACGGGGCCTCCCCCGAGGTCAGTGCTCTGCGACGGGGCCTCCCCCGAGGTCAGTGCTCTGCGACGGGGCCTCCCCCGAGGTCAGTGCTCTGCGACGGGGCCTCCCCCGAGGTCAGTGCTCTGCGACGGGGCCTCCCCCGAGGTCAGTGCTCTGCGACGGGGCCTCCCCCGAGGTCAGTGCTCTGCGACGGGGCCTCCCCCGAGGTCAGTGCTCTGCGACGGGGCCTCCCCCGAGGTCAGTGCTCTGCGACGGGGCCTCCCCCGAGGTCAGTGCTCTGCGACGGGGCCTCCCCCGAGGTCAGTGCTCTGCGACGGGGCCTCCCCCGAGGTCAGTGCTCTGCGACGGGGCCTCCCCCGAGGTCAGTGCTCTGCGACGGGGCCTCCCCCGAGGTCAGTGCTCTGCGACGGGGCCTCCCCCGAGGTCAGTGCTCTGCGACGGGGCCTCCCCCGAGGTCAGTGCTCTGCGACGGGGCCTCCCCCGAGGTCAGTGCTCTGCGACGGGGCCTCCCCCGAGGTCAGTGCTCTGCGACGGGGCCTCCCCCGAGGTCAGTCGCACGCTGCCTCTGCTGCTTAGCTCACTGCTCTCCTCGCTGCGGCCACCTATGGTGTAGCTTGCTCTCTCACCCTTTCAACCTCCAACCCACCCCTCCCTGCCGCGCCCCTCCCTGTCATCCTCCTCGCTGTCCCCCACCCCCAACAGCATGCACCACTTCACGCTACCGGAGCCGCCGCTTCGAGGACTGCTATCCCTCGCTCCCTCACCCTCCCAACTTGCCATATCGTTTCTCTCTATGGGATGTGTTGGCAGGAAGCAGAGCTGCTGAAGCAGGCCCCAACAGGGCGCAGCACTTCCACCGCCTCAACCGGAGCCGCTGCCTCGAGCCCTGCTGTCCCTGACTCTCTAACCTTCCCTACATGCCATATCTCTCATGTCTCTCTCTGCCCCATCCCTCCATTATGTGCACTGCGCTGGCACTGGCAGGAGGCGGAGCTGTTGAAGCTGCCGCCCGGCCCCAACAGGGCACAGCACTTCCACTACCTCAACCAGAGCCGCTGCTTCGAGCTGCAGGGCAAGTCCAGCAACGCCGAGGAGTATGGCAAGACCCGCAGCGCCATGCGCGTCATTGGCATCTCGGAGGAGGAGCAGGTGCGCGCACGTGTTGGTGTGTTGTGTCATCATGAGCTATTGTGCCAAAGTGCATCTCGCAGCCCCCAGTGTGCCACACGGCATGGCTCCGCTGCAATCCTCTCTTCACCACGTGCCTTCCACCTCTCTCTCCAGCACGTGCCTTCCACCTCTCTCTCTTCTCGCCTCGACCCCCTTGTTCGTCCCTGCCTGCTCCACACGACTCCTCGCACGCATGCCTCCTCACCACCTGTCCATGCACGCATGCCTCCCCACCACCTGTCCATGCACGCATGCCTCCCCACCACCTGTCCATGCACGCATGCCTCCCCACCACCTGTCCATGCACGCATGCCTCCCCACCACCTGTCCATGCACGCATGCCTCCCCACCACCTGTCCATGCCCGCATGCCTCCCCACCACCTGTCCATGCCCGCATGCCTCCCCACCACCTGTCCATGGCCGCATGCGTCCCCACCACCTGTCCATGCCCGCATCCTGCCATGCCAAGCATCGGCTCTCCCCTCCGCAAGGTTAAAAAAAACGACCGTTTTTTTGAAAATTTACCGTAAAAAACGGTATCGTAAAATACGGTCATAAAAAACGGTTTAAAACGGTTCCAGGAGGTGTTTCCTGCTTAACTAACAAAACGGCCACTTATTGGGACCAAATTGAACCCGAAATGCAGCAGCATGAAGGGGACGGACCCTTTCTTGCATGTATGCGCTTGTTTGCATGATTGAAAATGTTTTTTGGCCTTGTTTTTCTCTTTTTTTTCTTGGTGAACAGTGTTCTCTAACAAAAAGATGGCCGTTTTTTTTTTCTAAATCACCGTAAAAAACGACCGTATAAAACGGACCGTATTTTACGAAAACCGTAATTTTGAACCTTGCCCCTCCGTCTTACTTGCTCCCACACTTTCTGCCCCAGAGCTAACATTGCCTACACGAAGCCGGGCGAGAATTTGCTCCCATTCTGGCCTTTTTTTATCTGCAACTTCCTCAGCTGCTAAACCCTACATAAAACCGGAACCCTGAACCCTGAACCCGACTCTAAGCCCCGAACACTACACAGAGCTGCATCTGGGCAACATGGATGGGGTGCATCTGGGCAACATGGATGGGGTGCATCTGGGCAACATGGATGGGGTGCATCTGGGCAACATGGATGGGGTGCATCTGGGCAACATGGATGGGGTGCAGGGAGAAGGGTGACGAGCTCCTTCCCTTCCTGTCGTTTTCCTGTCTCTTTACCTTGTCCTCGCTCCCTCCCCTAGACCCCCGGTCCCTGCTCACACCTCTCTCTCCCCCCCCCCCCCTCCCGGCCACCCACTCCACCCGCCCTGCAGCGGTCCATCCCGCGCCTGCTAGCTGCGGTGCTGTATCTTCAGGGAGAAAGGCAGCAATTTCCCTCCCTTCCTGTCTCTTCCCTTTATCTCCCCCCTGTTTGTCCGCCAGCTGTCCATCCTGCGCCTGGTAGCAGCGGTGCTGCATCTGGGCAATGTGGAGTTCAGGGAGAAGGGCGACAAGTTGCGCATCGCCAAGCATGCAGACACCACCCTCGACACCGTCGCCTCCCTCCTCTCGTACGCCTCTCCCCCGCACCTGCATTCCTCTCGAATGCACCACCTCTCTCTCTCTCTCTCTCTCTCTCTCTCTCTCTCTCTCTCTCTCTCTCTCTCTCTCTCTCTCTCTCTCGAGCCCTAGCTGCCTCTCCGCCTTCTCACCTTCATATTGCTGCAGGACTCGCTATGCACGGTGCCCCGCAAGGTGGCTCCCATATCTCCTTACTCCACTCCCCTCCGGGCCCCCTGAACCTCCCCTCACTCTCACTATCCTGACCCCGTTGTGTCATGTGCTCTGCAGGTGCGACCGCAAGAAGCTGCAGGACTCGCTATGCACGGTGAAGCGCAAGGTGGGGGGGGAGACCATCAAGAGTGCACTTGATGTCAAGGCTGCCACTGTCAGGCGTGACACGCTTGCCAAGACCCTCTACTCCAAGCTCTTTGACTGGTGAGTGAGACTGTTGGGTGTAAAACCAGAATTGGCCCTAATTGAGGGGTTGGGCTCCAGCTTTAACCCCTGTCAAGTGAAGTGAACCTCAATAATTGGTCCACGATCATTGGGGTTCTAAAAATCATGGTCACCACTGACCCCTGATTATTTATCTAGCTCCACTCCGCCGTACTGGGGGGAAGGGAAGTCAATAAATCAGCCATGGCCACAACCCAAAGTTTGGGTTTGGGGTCCCAAACCATCATCCATGTTTTCATGTAAACCTCTATTTACCAAGTGAGGCTGACTTCCATGCATGCCCTCAGAACACAGGAAGGAAAAGCGTGACCAGCTCACACCCCCAGCCACCCCGCCTCGCCCTCAACCACACCTCACTCACCCACCCCCACCACCCACCCCACACTCCCCTCGTCCCCCTTCCTCCCTTTTTCATTCCCCCTTCCTACCCCCCAGGATTGTGCAGAAGGTGAATCGGTCCATCGGGCAGGACCCCAGGGCCATGGCCATCATTGGCGTGCTTGATATTTACGGCTTCGAGCACTTCAAGATCAACAGGTGCGAGGCCAGAGGTGCATACATCTTTCAAGGATAACGGCAGCTTCTAACCTCCTGAACCATCTTTGTTGCGCCTTCCCGCATCCACAACCATGCGAGTTTCCACTCAATGCCTCTGCCTTTCCCGTTACTTCAAACCCACCAATCCCCCCCAAATGCCCCCGTTCACCCCTTCGTTCCCTTGTCGTGCCAGTACTTCCCTGCATCATTGTCGTGCCAGTACTTCCCTGCATCATTGTCGTGCCAGTACTTCCCTGCATCATTGTCGTGCCAGTACTTCCCTGCATCATTGTCGTGCCAGTACTTCCCTGCATCATTGTCGTGCCAGTACTTCCTTGCATCATTGTCGTGCCAGTACTTCCCTGCATCATTGTCGTGCCAGTACTTCCCTGCATCATTGTCGTGCCAGTACTTCCCTGCATCATTGTCGTGCCAGTACTTCCCTGCATCATTGTCGTGCCAGTACTTCCCTGCATCATTGTCGTGCCAGTACTTCCATCATTGTCGTGCCAGTACTTCCCTGCATCATTGTCGTGCCAGTACTTCCCTGCATCATTGTCGTGCCAGTACTTCCCTGCATCATTGTCGTGCCAGTACTTCCCTGCATCATTGTCGTGCCAGTACTTCCCTGCATCATTGTCGTGCCAGTACTTCCCTGCATCATTGTCGTGCCAGTACTTCCCTGCATCATTGTCGTGCCAGTACTTCCCTGCATCATTGTCCATGCACCCTCCGTTTCCCCCCTCCCTCCCCCTCCCGCTCACCTCCCCCAATGGCCGTGAACAGCTTTGAGCAGTTCTGCATCAATCTTGCCAACGAGAAACTGCAGCAGCATTTCAACCAGGTGAGGCGTTTCAACCAGGTGAGGCGTTTCAACCAGGTGAGGCGTTTCAACCAGGTGAGGCGTTTCAACCAGGTGAGGCGCTTCAACCAGGTGAGGCGTTTCAACCAGGTGAGGCGTTTCAACCAGGTGAGGCGTTTCAACCAGGTGAGGCGTTTCAACCAGGTGAGGCGTTTCAACCACGTGAGGCGTTTCAACCAGGTGAGGCGTTTCAACCAGGTGAGGCGTTTCAACCAGGTGAGGCGTTTCAACCAGGTGAGGCGTTTCAACCAGGTGAGGCGTTTCAACCAGGTGAGGCGTTTCAACCAGGTGAGGCGTTTCGACCAGGTGAGGCGTTTCAACCAGGTGAGGCGTTTCAACCACGTGAGGTGTTTCAACCAGGTGAGGCGTTTCAACCAGGTGAGGCGTTTCAACCAGGTGAGGCGTTTCAACCAGGTGAGGCGTTTCAACCAGGTGAGGCGTTTCAACCAGGTGAGGCGTTTCAACCAGGTGAGGCGTTTCAACCGGGTGAGGCGTTTCAACCGGGTGAGGCGTTTCAACCAGGTGAGGCGTTTCAACCAGGTGAGGCGTTTCAACCAGGTGAGGCGTTTCAACCGGGTGAGGCGTTTCAACCAGGTGAGGCGTTTCAACCAGGTGAGGCGTTTCAACCAGGTGAGGCGTTTCAACCAGGTGAGGCGTTTCAACCATGTCGCGTTATTAACACGTAGCTGTCAACTAAGTGTGAATACCACAGCAGCCAAGGTGAGGGTGTACTATAGTTTACCGCTTTTGTACTCTAATTTCATTTGTGTGCTTGGAGTGTATTGTACTGTACTGCAGAGCCGAGTAGCTGGGGAATTTGAGGTGGTTAGTGGGAGGCGAATTCAAGGAGGTTGGTGGAGACGAATTCAATTCCAGCCTGTGAATTCAATTTCGAAGTCACAAGGCTGGAAGGCGAATTCAATGCCAGCCTGGGAATTGAATTCGAAGTCACCAGGCTGGAAGGCAGTGCATGCCTAGTGGGCCCAGTGGGAACACAGCTAGCACCTTGGAGACCTCGCGAGCAGCCCGGCTGACTCGCTTGGTGCACAGGAGCTTGCTTGTGGAGGAAGCAACCTAGGCAGGGGGTGGGAATAGATGTAGGCAGGAGTAGCACTCGGGCTTCTTGCTTTTTGCTTGTATGTTTCTCATTTACTGCAATTTGTTTTCCTAATCCAGAGGGAACTAGCAGTAGGAGAAGCTATAAGCAATTTGACAGAGCCCCTGAGGGGGAGTGTTACGCTTGCTACATACAAGCAAAAAGGTTGTTGACTGTCTTAAGTACAGGAGATAAGCTAGTAGCCTCGAGTCGCTCACGGTGATGCGCCGTGAGGAATGAGTAGGCACGATCAGGAACTGCACACTCATCAGCTGCGCTCGGGACTCCGTTTCCCTGCAAGGATGATGGAGGGACAAGGCCTACCAATCAGGACACCTGGATTCCGTGCTGAAGAGGGCGATGCTAACGCGCGCGGGGGTCAGGGATCAGATCGAGAGAGGGAGGGCGACCGACAAGGGGAGCCGCCGCCTAGCGCTACTGGTGGATCAGTCGCTGGCGGGAGTGGAATCGGCCATGTGAGGAGTGGATCTCGAGGGGATACTCCTGCTCAAGGAAGAGAAGAGTTTCGGGAAGAACGGCACAGTCAGCGCGGGGAAGATGAACATCACGAAGAAAGACGTCGTCAGAGAGGAGGAGAAGCGTACCACAGCTTTTCGGCGGGTGGATACGAGGCTACTGAAGCTAGGCAAGGTGGTCGGCCGGTGGACAGCGGGGATAGAGGGAACACGAGCTGGGGGACGGGCCGCACGATGAACGCAGCTCTACCGAAAATTGAAGTGCCGGACCGTTTCTCGGGGACACCAGGGGAGGAGCCCACGCTCAAGAACTACTTGATGATGATAGACGACCTGCGTTACCTTTGGGAGAGGGAGGGCTTAGACCCTATCGAGTTCTTTAGAGGTTTGGGACGAACTCTGAAAGGCGAAGCCCTGACTCACTACCGCGTGGAAAGGCAGGGGCTGTTGATGCAGTGCAAGAGAGGCGATTTCTCACCAGCAATGATAACGGACCGATTTCTGGAGAGTTTGCAGGAGCAATTCCCGGGGCACTCGGCGGAACGGATGGCGGAATTTCAGAACTTCGTGCGTGCCACTTCGGAGTCGCTGCTAGCCTATTACAACAGGCTGCTGGAGCTGGCAGAGGACATGGGGTGTATGGAGGAGCGCCTCTTGGTGACGAAATTTGTCAACGGTCTGGACAAGGACGTGATAGGCGACATGAGGAGTCAGCTGTACGTCCTGGGAGTACGCGCCACGCTGCGGCAAGTCTACAAGGTGGCGAAAGAAGTGGAGGAAGGGAAGAGATTTTATGATGGCATGCAGGGGTCGAGTTCCAGCCGACCGAACGAGCGGAGACGGCCGGCCTGGGCAGCTATGGAAGGAAGAAGGGGAGAGGAAGAGCGGAAAGAGAGGCCATCGGAAGACCCGAGACGCTGCCATAAATGTGGAGAGCAAGGACATCTTCGGAGGGATTGTACGGTGGGAATAATCTGCGACACCTGTGGAGCAAAGGGACATTTCAGGCGTGACTGCCCCAAGGCGCCGACCTGCACGGGGTGTGGGAAGAAAGGCCATACCGAAGCTAGATGCTACAGCAAGGGAGACAGGGCGAAAGGGAAAACTGCAAGGGAGCTGCAGTTAGAACGAGAGTTGGCGAAACTGAAAGCTCAGATGGAGAAATCAGGGATCAGTGAAGACCCCGAGAAAGCTCTGCTGGCTTGGGGGGATGACGAAGGGGAAGATTCTGAGGAAGGGGAACCAGAATACGGGACCATGGCTATGCCGCCAAGGGAGAGGGGAGACCTGGGGCTGCGCAGCGGAGGGGCAGATGGCAGAGCGGAGCAGAAATTACAAGAGCGGAGAATTTCCAGGCGGCAGGAGAATCAAGGGAAAGTCAGCACCGCACGGCGTCACCCCGAGGAAAGGCTAGTCTGTCAGCCCACAGCCTTAGTGGTGGAACCGAAAGCCGTGGCGGTCAGAGGAATCTTGGTAAAAAACGCGGTAGTGGATACAGGAGCACAGAGCGTCCTAATCGGGAAGAAGCTGACGGCACAACTGCGAGCGCAAGGGAACCTAGAGACTGTAAGCAAGGGCAAACTGATCATGACAGCAGAAGGAGGGGCCCCCAAGTGGATGCCATGCACACGGGACCTGATAGAGATAACCTTACAGCCGGGAGAGAAGGGGGAGACCACTATCAGAGTGCAGTGTGGGTTGACAGAATCAGAAGACTATGATATCCTACTAGGAATGGAGCTGCTGTTCAAGATAGGCACCACTATCTGTACCTGGCAGGAGCAGGTGCTCTACCGTTCGGACTTTTGGGAGGAAGGGAAGGAGCTGAGTGAACTACCAGTACGGTTTGTTAAGACAGAACCCAAGAAGGCGTGGAGAGCAGAAGGACTGAGGAAGAACAGCAGGAGGGGAGGAAGTGTGGGGAAGAGCAACGGCAGCGCTCACCTGGATCAGTATAGCATTACACTAGTGGAGCTGTTCGGGGGAATAGGAGCGGGCTTGGCAGCAGCCTTGGAAGCAGGCCTGAGGGTGAAGAAGTGGGTATACGTAGAATTGGACCCAGAGGTGAGGAGAATGGCATGGAAGCATGCTCAAATGTTACAGCAGCAGTACCCCGCGCAGCTGACGAAAGAAGTACTACGGGAGGCCATGCAGAACAAGAAATGGGACGTGGGGCAGCTCACGAAAGAAGACGTGAGCAGCTGGGGTAAAGTGAATTTGTTAGTGGCGGGATGGGAGTGTCAGGGTACTTCTAGGGCCGGAAAGGGGAAAGGCTTACAGGACGAGCGCACGGGGATGGTGACCAAGCTACTCACCATAATGAAGTGGACGAGTGAAGTGAATGGAGAATATGCTTACATCCTGGAGCATGTGGATATGAGGAATGACGTACGCGAGCCGGTCAGGGCAGTAAGGGAGCTGGTGGAGGCAGAACTGGGGAGAGGAGTGAGCTGTGATGGGGCACAGTTGGGGGCACGCTGTCATAGGGTGCGGCAGTACTGGCAAAACGTCTTGCCAGACGGGGAACTGAGGGCAAGACTAGCAAGAGTGGAGAGGGACGAAAGCAGGATAGTAGAGGATATTTTAGAACCAGGGAGGGTGGCGGCACCAGTGGTAAAACCAGATCATCCGCGGCAGTACCAGTGCAACCGGGTGGGGGAAGCTCGCAGGGCATGGCCTACATTAGTGGCATACACCAGGGCACAAGGTTTCATCGAGGTGGACGGAATACCAGGACCAGGGATGGTGTACGATCACCGGAAGAAGAAGTGGGAGGAACCGACGGCTTTGGAGCGGGAGTTAGCCATGGGATACCTGCCAGGAGCAACCGCAGCAGAAGGGGTAGAGGAAGGGATGCGCAGAGCAGCTTTAGGAAGAGCCATAGACCAGCACTCGCTGAGATGGTTAATCAAAGAGATGAGGAAGGGGGCAGCTGATAAGGGAGGAGAGACCGGAAAAAGGCAAGGACAAGGAGAGAAGCAGGCGGCGTATGCAGCTGTTGAGCAGGGCACGGGAGGAAAGGAGAATGTTGCGGCACTAGCAGGGGGCAAAGAAGCTGAGCAGGGTAAGGAATGGAAGCTAGGTACGGACATCAAGGAGCAGACGGCGGAAGCAATCAGAGAGGTGCTGCGCCAGCACAGGAGCACTTTCGCCTATAACCTGCAGGAATTGGGGAGGTACAAGGGAAGAGAGCTGGAGCTAAACCTTACCACAGAGATACCCACTTACCAACGAAGAAGGAGAATGAATGCAGAGGATGCGGCTATCTGCAAGGAGAAGTGTGAGGAGCTGCTAGCAGCAGGGATTATCCGCCCGTCCGAGTCAAGCTACGCAGCAGCCACAGTGGTAGCTGCCAGGAAGGATATCACGGGTAAAGTGCTGGCGAAAAGGATGTGTGGAGATTTTCGGGAGCTGAACAAGATTACCAGCCCGGACAGGTACCCCATGCCAATAGCAGAAGACATCTTTGATCGCTTAGAAGGCGCCATCATCTTCACCACCTTGGACCTGCGACAGGGGTTCAACCAGATAGCCATCAGGGAGGAAGACAAACGGAAAACGGCGTTTCACGGGGTGGATGGGCTGTATGAGTACAATGTGATGCCCTTCGGGATACGCAACGCCCCTGCAGTGTTCCAGCGGGCCATGGATCAGGTGCTGAAGGGGATTCCAGCAGCAGCCTGCTACATAGATGATATACTGATTTTCAGCAGCAGTGAAGAGCAGCACGTGCAAGATCTGAAGCAGACGCTAGAGGCTATAGCAGCTGCGGGTCTGACGTGCCATCCAGACAAGTGCAAGATAGCAAGGCAGACCGTGGCTTACCTGGGCTTTGAAGTGAAAGGGGGCCGGCTGGCGATACAGGAAGCAAAAGTTAAGGTGCTGGAGAACCTGGCAGCACCAAAGGATAAGACCGGGCTGCGGGCGTTACTCGGCTTCCTGAATTATTACAGGAAGTTCGTACCGAACTTCAGCCGCCGAGCCTACATACTGAATCAGCTGCTGAAGGAAGGGAGGAGCTGGCAGTGGGGAGAGCTGGAGGAAACGGCAAGGCAGGACCTGTTAGAAGCAGTACGAACGGGAACGCTGCTGCAGATACCGAGGGCAGATGCCCCTTTCATCTTATACACCGACTGGAGCAGCACAGGAATGGGGGCAGTGCTCTGCCAAGAGATAGAAGGAGAGGAGAGAGTGGTAGCCTTCGCCAGCCGCAGCTGCAGCCCATCCGAGGCTAACTACTGCTCTTACGAGGGGGAGGGCCTGACAGCTGTATGGGGGATCACTCACTTCAAGGTGTACCTGCAGGGTCGGCGCTTCACACTTGTGACTGATCACCAGCCGTTGCTATGGTTGATGACTCATCAGGAGCTGACGGGAAGAAACGCTCGCTGGGCCATTAAGCTGCTGGGATTCGACTTTGAGATCCGACACCGGCCTGGGAAAACGCTGCAGCACGCAGATGGGTTATCAAGGAATCCGCCACCAATGCAGCCGGTAGCGCAGCTGGCAGCCCTGGCTCAAGTAGCGGCGGTACCCTGGGGGCAGGAGAAAGGAAAGAAGCGGTTAGGGGATATATGGGAGGATGAGGAGACCCTGAGTTGGATCAAAGGGGAGCCACTAGAAGAGGAAGGAGTGAGCGAGAGAGCCAGGGCCCGAGGGCAGCATTTCAGGTGGTTTCAGGAACAGCTGCAGCTGAGAACCAACGAAGGGTGGAAGGTGGTGCCACAACCACAGGAGAGAGCCAAGATTATGGGGAATGTGCACGCGAAGCTGGGGCACTTCGGCATAACCAGAACACGGCAGCTGCTGAGCACCATGTACTGGTGGGTGAGCATGGGAAAGGATGTGGCAGGATTAGTGGCGAGCTGCGAGGCATGTCAGAGGAATAAAGCAAGGCTGGAGAAAGAGAGAGATGAGCTGCATTCTTTACCAATTCGCGGGTTGGGCTACAGGTGGTCGTTGGACCTCGCGGGAGAGCTGCCACTATCGAAAGGAGGGAAGCAGTACATTCTGGTGATGGTTGAGCACACGAGTAAATGGGTGGAGGCGCGAGCGTTACCAAGCAAGAACAGCGCACTGATAGCTGACGCTTTTGAGGAGCTGGTGCTCACCAGGTATGGGGCATGCGGGGAGGTACTCACTGATCAAGGGACGGAATTTCAAGGGAGCTTCGACGAGCTGCTGGAAGAGATGGGTATCACGCACAGGGTCACCTCTAGGTACCATCCTCAATCAGACGGACTGACCGAGAGGCTCATACAGACCTTGAAGAAAGGACTACGGGCCTACAGTGAGTCCCACAAAAGGAGTTGGGACCGAGATCTCTGGTGGGTGCTGGCGGGGTACAGGTTCGCAAAGCAGGCGGCTCTGAGAAACCTATCCCCATACCACTTACTGTTCGGGCGGGATCCTGTGCTGCCGGTCGATGCTCCGAAGCTGCTTTCTGCGGTTATAGAGGCAGATGAGCCAAACCTGTGGGCGGAGTTAGCACAGAGGAGAGCAAAGTATTTGAAGGAGCTGACTCCGGCAGCTCTGGATAACCTCCATGTGGCGCAGCTGCGTGACGCAAGACGATACCAGCAGCGTAAAGCATCAGGGATAGGGGGAAAGGGTGACAAGGTGGAGGCAGGGCAGGAGGTATACCTTCGCAAAGCTAAGCGCGACACGCTGGACTTAGCGGTGGGATCGGAGCGGTGGAAGGTGAAAGAGATACGAGGCTCGGGAGTGTTAGTGCTGGAAGATATTCGAGGGGGAATCATCAAGGAACACATCACCAACGTGGCCAGGGCGGGACAAGGGAAGCCTCAGGCAGTGGGTCCCGTGACTCGAGCGGCAAAGATGGGCGCTGAGACACGGGAGGGGGCAGGGAAGCCTGAGGTACCAGGAGGAGTGCAGGACAGAGTGATTACATACGCCAGGAGGAAGAAGGGATGAACCTGATCAGCAGTACGGGTGGCAGGGAAGGAAGGAGAGAAGGAGAAGTCAGCAGGTTACACAGGGGAGAAAGGGAATGAGGGTGGACAGAGGAAGATTCACGACAGCTGTCGCGTTATTAACACTTAGCTGGCAACTAAGTGTGAATACCACAGCAGCCAAGGTGAGGGTGTACTATAGTTTACCGCTTTTGTACTCTAATTTCATTTGTGTGCTTGGAGTGTATTGTACTGTACTGCAGAGCCGAGTAGCTGGGGAATTTGAGGTGGTTAGTGGGAGGCGAATTCAAGGAGGTTGGTGGAGACGAATTCAATTCCAGCCTGTGAATTCAATTTCGAAGTCACAAGGCTGGAAGGCGAATTCAATGCCAGCCTGGGAATTGAATTCGAAGTCACCAGGCTGGAAGGCAGTGCATGCCTAGTGGGCCCAGTGGGAACACAGCTAGCACCTTGGAGACCTCGCGAGCAGCCCGGCTGACTCGCTTGGTGCACAGGAGCTTGCTTGTGGAGGAAGCAACCTAGGCAGGGGGTGGGAATAGATGTAGGCAGGAGTAGCACTCGGGCTTCTTGCTTTTTGCTTGTATGTTTCTCATTTACTGCAATTTGTTTTCCTAATCCAGAGGGAACTAGCAGTAGGAGAAGCTATAAGCAATTTGACGGAGCCCCTGAGGGGGAGTGTTACGCTTGCTACTGGGAGTGTTACGCTTGCTACTGGGGGGTGTTACGCTTGCTACTGGGAAGCCTGAGGTACCAGGAGGAGTGCAGGACAGAGTGATTACATACGCCAGGAGGAAGAAGGGATGAACCTGATCAGCAGTACGGGTGGCAGGGAAGGAAGGAGAGAAGGAGAAGTCAGCAGGTTACACAGGGGAGAAAGGGAATGAGGGTGGACAGAGGAAGATTCACGACAACCAGGTGAGGCGTTTCAACCAGGTGAGGCGTTTCAACCAGGTGAGGCGTTTCAACCAGGTGAGGCGTTTCAACCAGGTGAGGCGTTTCAACCGGGTGAGGCGTTTCAACCGGGTGAGGCGTTTCAACCGGGTGAGGCGTTTCAACCGGGTGAGGCGTTTCAACCGGGTGAGGCGTTTCAACCGGGTGAGGCGTTTCAACCGGGTGAGGCGTTTCAACCGGGTGAGGCGTTTCAACCGGGTGAGGCGTTTCAACCGGGTGAGGCGTTTCAACCAGGTGAGGCGTTTCAACCAGGTGAGGCGTTTCAACCAGGTGAGGCGTTTCAACCAGGTGAGGCGTTTCAACCAGGTGAGGCGTTTCAACCAGGTGAGGCGTTTTAACCAGGTGAGGCGTTTCAACCAGGTGAGGCGTTTCAACCAGGTGAGGCGTTTCAACCAGGTGAGGCGTTTCAACCAGGTGAGGCGTTTCAACCAGGTGAGGCGTTTCAACCAGGTGAGGCGTTTCAACCAGGTGAGGCGTTTCAACCAGGTGAGGCGTTTCAACAAAGTGAGGCGCGTTTTGTGGCAGGTTACTTGGAAAGTTTCATGTGTTTTTGTAGGCAGCTGTACTAAGCACTGTGAAGCTCGTTTCACAAGTAACAGTGCTAAGTGCTTCGCCAGAAAGCATATTATATTCCATTCATGTGGCCCGAACCATACATATTGTTTCTGTATTCGAAATTTTTTAAGTTCCATGTTCTGTAATCAGTTTGATTAAATGCTGACATGCTCTTGCTCGTGCCGAGCCCCATGTACCAGTCTTCTCCTCCCTCCTCTCAACCAATAGCACGTGTTGAAGCTGGAGCAGGATGAATACGAGAAGGAGCAGATCAACTGGAGCCGATGCTGTTGCTCATGTGCTCTTTACCCTCCCCCCCCCACACAAACCCTACCCCTCCCGCACACGACCAGCACGTGTTGAAGCTGGAGCAGGAGGAGTATGAGAAGGAGCAGATCAACTGGAGCTACATCAACTTCCGTGACAACCAGGACGTGCTGGACCTCGTTGAAGGGGTGAGCGCCGTGGCTGGGGCTGGGGGCATGCCATGGGGGGCATGCCATGGGGGGCATGCAAGGATCATCGAGGGATATGGATGGACGGGTGGGATGTGTTGCAGGGGAGGAGGATGAACTGAGAGGGAGAGAGGGTAGAGGCGCTGACATTTGGCACTTTTTGAGAGAGTCACATGGAGCTGCAGAGGATCAGACCAGATCCGATCATATCAGAGATACTGCAAGCGCCCATTCCGATAAGTGCGTTTCGATTGCCTCTTGTTCCTCTGATTTCAAACCCGTCCACCCAACCATCATTCCCCATTCCCTCTTCCCCCCCCCTCTTCCCCTCCTCCCTCCCCTCTCCCCCCACCTCCCCCTTCCGCCCCCTTTGCCCTGGTTCCCCCCATGTCCCACGCGGCAGGACAAGGGCATTCTCAGCATCCTTGACTCAGCCTGGTGCGTGCATCGCATCACACCTCCACTCGCTCCCTCAGCACACCCCCCCCCCCCCCTCGCCCCGCGCCTTCATTCGCCTCCCCCCACCTGCATTCCCCCACCTGCATTCCCCCACCTGCATTCCCCCACCTGCATTCCCCCACCTGCATTCCCCCACCTGCATTCCCCCAGATGCATCTTAATTCAATAGTCCCTGCTCCCCATTCGCTCGTCTCGTCGGTTCCATCCTCTGCACTCGTCAGCAGCACAGGGCCTCAACTCACTCCTGGGATATTCCCCCTTACTGTCGCTTCACCTCCCTCCCCTATCTGCCTCTTTACATACTCCCCACTAGCCCCCCACCACCCACCCACCCTAACCCCCACCCTAACCCCCCTACGCATACTCTCTTCTTCTGAGACCACATCGAAGGGCATCACCCTCCCTCTCCTTCCTTCTCCACTCCCTCTCCTTCCTTCTCCACTCCCTCTCCTTCCTTCTCCCCTCCCTCTCCACCTGCGCTTCTGTCAACCCACACCTACGTCCCCCTCTCGTCCCCATGCATCTGGATTCCGAACCCCCTCATCTCATCTCATCTCATCTCATCTCATCTCATCTCACCTCATCTCATCTCATCTCATCTCACCTCATCTCATCTCATCTCATCTCATCTCATCTCATCTCATCTCATCTCATCTCATCTCATCTCATCTCATCTCATCTCATCTCATCTCATCTCACCTCACCTCACCTCATCTCATCTCATCTCATCTCATCTCATCTCATCTCATCTCATCTCATCTCATCTCATCTCATCTCATCTCATCTCATCTCATCTCATCTCATCTCATCTCATCTCATCTCATCTCATCTCATCTCATCTCATCTCATCTCATCTCATCTCATCTCATCTCACCTCACCTCACCTCATCTCATCTCATCTCATCTCATCTCATCTCATCTCATCTCATCTCATCTCATCTCATCTCATCTCATCTCATCTCATCTCATCTCATCTCATCTCACCTCACCTCATCTCATCTCATCTCATCTCATCTCATCTCATCTCATCTCATCTCATCTCATCTCATCTCATCTCATCTCATCTCATCTCATCTCATCTCATCTCATCTCATCTCACCTCATCTCATCTCACCTCATCTCACCTCATCTCATCTCATCTCATCTCATCTCATCTCATCTCATCTCATCTCATCTCATCTCATCTCACCTCATCTCATCTCATCTCATCTCATCTCATCTCACCTCACCTCATCTCATCTCATCTCATCTCATCTCATCTCATCTCATCTCACCTCATCTCATCTCACCTCATCTCATCTCATCTCATCTCATCTCATCTCATCTCATCTCATCTCATCTCATCTCATCTCATCTCATCTCATCTCATCTCATCTCATCTCATCTCATCTAAACCATCTCATCTCATCTCCCCCTCACACCTCGCGCTCTCTTCGCCCCACCATCGCAGCCCAGGGCGGAGGGCTTCACCCTGTCGCTGTACGACGCCTTCCTCCGCCACCACCACCTCTCTTCCATGCTTCCCTCCCACCCCCCCCCCCCTCTTTCCCCCACCCCCTCCCCCTCCCCACCTCCATCCCCTCCCCACGCCCCGCTCCCCTCACCCCCTGCACCAGCCTTGTGGCTCAGTGCACAGCGGAGGGCTTCACGCTGTCGCTGTACGACGCCTTCCCACGTGCTTCCCGTCTCTTTTCCTTCCCCATTACGCCCTCTCCCCTCCCCCCCCCTCCTCTCTTCTCCACGTCCAGCCGCCTGGCGCAGTCAACGGCGGAGGGCTTCACGCTGTCGCTGTACGACGCCTTCCTGCGCCACGACCGCTTCTCCAAGTCCAAGGGCTCCGTCACCGACTTCACCCTCGAGCACTACGCCGGGCAGGTCAGTTGAGAGTCAACTCAAGTCAACATGGCCGTTGACTCAAGTCAAAGGGCTTCTCCAAGTCCAAGGGCTCCGTCACTGACTTCACCATGGAGCACTACGCCGGTCAGGTGGGTGGGGTGGGGCTGTGTGCTGTGTTGGGTAGGTGGGGTGGAATGAAAGGACTGTGTGTGAGGCGCACACATGGCCGACTTCTTCTCCAACTCCAATGGCTCTCTTCTAGGACCTTGAAGCTAACTCAATAGTCTTCTCCAAGTCCAAGGTCCCTGTCATTGACTTCACTCTCGGGCACTGCGCGGAGCAGGTGTGGTGAGAGTGGTGGCCCGGGCGGGGCTCTGTGTTGTGCTGGGTGGGCGACAAGATAAAAGGATCGTTCGTGACACGTGCCACCCCCTATTAGTTTGCCAAGTCCAAGGGCTATGTCTCTTATTGCACTCTTCAGCACCATGCCAGGCAGATTAGTCAGGGCTCTGTGCTGCCTGGCTTACCATGGTGAACTCAACTCACGAGATAACCCTTGCATCAACTCAACTCAAGATGACTGGTGAGTGAGTGGCTGAAAAGAGTTTTCAAGTGCAAGTGCTCTGGCACTAGAACGCACCAGATGAAGTCAAGCACAGGTCATCCCCCCTGTTGCTCAACTTGCAACTTCCCTTTCCTTTCCCTCCCCCCCTTGGAGCACACCAGGTGAAGTACAGCACGTTGGAGTTCATAAGCAAGAACATGGACGCAGTGGTATCAGAGCACGAGGTGCTGCTGCAGAAGTCTGCCGACCCATTCGTCGCCGCCCTCTTCCCACCCGCGCCGCCCGATGACAAGGCGGGCAAGGCCACGAGCAAGTTCGCGTCGCTGGCTCGCTCCTTCAAGGTGTGCACCAGCCATGCACCCACTCAACCATCCCACTCGCCATCCAACCCCACACCTGTGTGCCCTGCGTGCTTCCAAGCTGGGGGGTCGGGACTCACATGCCTCCAAGCTGGGGGGTCGGGACTCACATGCCTCCAAGCTGGGGGGTCGGGACTCACATGCCTCCAAGCTGGGGGGTCGGGACTCACATGCCTCCAAGCTGGGGGGTCGGGACTCACATGCCTCCAAGCTGGGGGGTCGGGACTCACATGCCTCCAAGCTGGGGGGTCGGGACTAGGCATGATCATCCTGCCCCGGCGGGTCGGGTCGACCCGACCCGACCCGGGTTTTGACCCGGGTCGGGTCAGGCATTTTGAAGCGCTGGCCCGGCCGGGTCGGGTCGGGTTTACCCGGTCGGGTCGGGTCGACCCGACACCCGAAACCGGGTCGGGTCGGGTCGGGTCGGGTCGGGTCAGATTTAGACCCGAAGTCGTACCCGACCCGGTTTCGGGTACCGCGCCCTAAGTCGGGTCGAGTATTTGGCCCGACCCGACTTTTCCTCCCTCGACAATTTGCACTAAAGCAGATCGCGAAGTCAATGTCTAGGGTTTGTTTGTTCCCTCGACATTGACTTCGATCTGCAATACCTAGGCAGCTAGCAAGCAATCGTTCTCAAGCTCTACTACTCTCTAAACCCGCGCCCATGTTAAGGAACACTATTACTAGTGTTTCCATGTTGGCGTAAGGGTCTTTTTAACCTAGCGCGACCAGGCAGAGATATTCGATTCTATAGAAATAGTTATTCTTAGCTCTCACAAGCGACTAAACTCTGGTCCCGCGTTCTAATCGCCCCCTGCGCGCCTACCAGGCCCGCATCGATAGTGACGCGACCCCCCATAGTCTAGTTACAAAATGGAGGACGTTCATATAATAATATTACACAAACATTCAATCAGTGCAACACCGCACAGTAGTAAGGAGAACCTCTTACCCTGCATATGGGGTCCTGGCCCGACCCGACCCGACCCGGCTCCTACCCGACCCGACCCGGGGGCGGGTCACGCCTGACCCGGCACCCGATACCCGGGTCGGGCCAGGATTTTTTGAAGTTCCGACCCGACCCGACCCGACCCGGAACCCGGCTGGCCCGCCCAAGTCGGGTCGGGTCGGGTCGGGTCGGGCCTAATGATCATGCCTAGTCGGGACTCACATGCCTCCAAGCTGGGGGGTCGGGACTCACATGCCTCCAAGCTGGGGGGTCGGGACTCACATGCCTCCAGGCAAGCGCTCCGGGTGGCTCGGGCAGCACTGGGTGGGAATTGACAGAAGCCGCTCATATGGCAAGCTATCTGACTTCTCTTTCAATCTATAACTTGCTCAGTATCACAGTGCATTTACTCCTACACCGTTTTCTCTCCTCTGTCCCTCCTTCTCACCCCCCTGCCTTTTCTCTCACCCCATCTCATTTCCAGCAACAACTGGCGCAGCTGATGGAGACACTCAACCGCACAGAACCGCACTACATCCGGTGCATCAAGCCGAACGCCAAGAGCCGGCCGGGCATGTTTGAGCGCGCCATGGTCACGGACCAGCTGCGGTCGGGGGTGAGTGAGAGGGCAGGCTTAGCTGGTCGTGCCACACATCTCCACTGCCCCGTTTGTACGTAGTAGCCCCCCTGGTCTCCGTGAACTGAACTGAACTGAGCGCGCCATGACCAGCTCCCTCTCTTCCTGTCGCCTTCTGTGCCCTTGCTTGCTCCTCCCTAGCGCAGGGAGTGCTGGAGGCCATCCGCATGTGCTCCGCGGGCTACCCCACACGCCGCACCTTTGAGGACTTCGTTGACCGCTTCGCTCTGCTGCTGCCCTCGCTGCTCGAGCAGGAGTGAGTGCTCCCGTTTCCTCTCCTCCCCCCTCCACTCCTCTGGCGCGGAGATCTCTCCAGCACGTCCACCAAGATGAAAACTTCTCTGCCCATCCCCTTGCTGCTCAAAAAGATCTACACCTGGAGTCGACTTCTTGACTCCCTGCGTTCTTTCTCCCGCTTCCAACCTTCCTCTCTTCTCTTCTCCACTCAGCTCCCCGCATCCTCCTTTCCCCCCACCTCTGTCTGTCCCCCTTTTCTTGCAGCATGTCGGACGTGGAGTATGTGGAGGCGCTGCTCAAACACGCCAAGCTCGAGAACTACCAGGTGCCCCTTCAAATGCCTTTTCATATCACACTAACCTTCAGTTGATAATTCAGGTGCAGTCATCGAAGCAGGTGTGTAGTCGCCAGGCTGTGACCTCTCAGGGCGGTGTGACTGCCGTCCACGCTGGAGCGCCCCCCTGCTTGCTCCACCTCTGCTGCCACGCTCCCCACCCCGTGCTCCTGACGCCCTCGCCTCAGCTCTGCAGATGTGCCCTCGCCTCAGCTCTGCAGATGTGCCCTCCCCCGATTGTCCTCCACTCCTTTCCCTTGCTCCGCTCGGCAGCACCGCAGAGGCCTGTGCTGCACACCGTGCGTGGGGAGCAGTTTCTCTTGCCCTTCCTGCTTCCAACATCCACACTCCCCTTTGTGTTTCCTTGTAATGTCTCACCTCCTCTCATTCCCGACCCTCTCCTGTGTGTGCGCAGCCGGATCGGGATGGCAAACCAAGGTTTGCCCCAGGGCAGGACAGTTGATGGTGCTTATCATGGCTCCTTCATCCCCTACAGGCCCCCTTTTGCCTCCTCACCCCCTCTCCCTCACGCGCGCAGATCGGGGTGACCAAGGTGTTCCTGCGGGCGGGCAGCTGGCGCATATGATGGTGTGTGCACTCACCCTTCCCCACCACCTTTCCGTTCCCTCCCCCTGACGCCCTTCCCTCTCCACCTCTCCCTCCCTGCACGTGCGCAGATCGGGCTGACCAAGGTGTTTCTGCGCGCGGGGCAGATGGCGCTGCTGCAGAGCATGCGCCTGGACGCCATGAACGAAGCTGCCAGGAAGATTCAGCGCGCCACGCGGCACTTCCTCTTCAATCGCCATCGCAGGCGCGCCGCCCTGCTCATCCAGACACACTGGCGAGGTGAGGTGTGCGATGTGGTGCAGTGGCCAGACCCACTGGCGAGGTGAGATGCTCATCCAGACGCAGGGGTGAGGTGAAGTGGTGGTGGGGTGAGGCAGGGGTGAGGTGCTGGCGAGGTGAGGTGTGCGGTGCGGTGTGGTGCGGTGAGATGGGGTGGGGTGGGGTACTGTGAGATGCTCATCCAGGCACAGTGGCTCGAGGGGGCGAGGGTTAAAGGCCGAGGATTGGCATGCAGGGGAAGAAGGGCCCCCCCCTGCCCCTCTCCCACTGTGCGACCCTACCATCCCTCACTCACACTCGTTACCTTCCGGTCCCCACTTCCCAACTCTTCCCCCCCCCATCCCCCCCTCTGCCCCTCCAGGCTTCTGTGTGCGCGCGGCCTACCAGCTGTTGCGGAGCTAAGTTGGTCTCTTACGTTTTTTGAGGTCTCGTAAACGTAAATTTCGCGAAATTTAGCGTAAACGTAAACGAAAGCGTAAAATTACACGTAAGTATGAGGCGAGCAGGAAAAAAAAACTAATGTGATACTTTTTATTGGATTGTGTACGGGTACCAGATCGTACCACTAATTTGTCATGTGCCTTTCTAGAATAGCGACTTTACTACGTATGGAGCGCCTTTCAAGGCCGTGAAAGTTTCAAATTCAGCGTTGACCAGGTTAGTAAGAGAGAAACACGATAGGTTGCGAACGAGCTGCTAGGTTGACGTCGACAAGATATCAAATTACGGAACTAGGTTGGAGGGAATCTTCTTGATGCTCTGGTCGTTTTTTTCCCTCGGGCAGCTCAGAAAAGTTTTTAGGTGACCGTAAACGTAAGGCCGAATCTGGGCGACCGTTCGTAAACGTAAAAATTGTCGTAATCGTCCGAAAACGTAAGGAACCGAAAACGTAAGATCCAACTTAGTTGCGGAGTGATGTGGCTGCTGTGCCCTCTCGCGGAGCTGCCTTCTGCTCCCTCCCCCTCCTCCCCCTCCTTCTCTTCCCTTCTGTTCTCATCCCTCGGTTTCGTTCCCCACCTCCTCTCTCTCCAATCTCCAACACCCCTCCAGGCCACTGTGCGCGCGCGGCGTACCAGCAGTTGCGCAGGGACGTGGCAGCAACGACCATCCAGGCGGCGGAGAGGGGGCGGCAGCAGCGCCTGCGCTTCCTGCAGCTGCGCCATGCCGCACTGGTGGTGCAGGCCGCTGTGCGCATGCACCTCTGCCGCACCGCCTATGCCAACACTCGCCGCCGCCTCGCCGCCACCCGCATTCAGGTGCGTTGCAGCACGAGGCACCTGCATTCAGGTGCGTTGCAGCACGAGGCACCTGCATTCAGGTGCGTTGCAGCACGAGGCACCCGCATTCAGGTGCGTTGCAGCACGCTGGGGTGTTGCTGGTGCAGCACGAGGCACGCTGCTGTCGCGATGCATGCAGTGGGTTGAAAATCCTGCAATGAGCTCTGGAAGTCGATACTCCCCCCCTTGCCGTGCCTTGTGTGCCACCCCCCCTCCCTCCCTCTCACCACGCCCCCATGCAGAGCACGTGGCGAGGCTACATTCACAGGCGGCCGTGGCGGGCGCTCAAGCACATGCTGGCGGGTAGAGTGGCGCGCCTCCGAATGCACAACCTCAAGCTGGTGAGTCATAGCGTTCCCTTGTTCTCGCCATCCATACCAAAGTTCAGCATACGACTGTATTTTTGAAATCGCTCTATGATTTCTCACAGGAGCCTATTATTGGATACCGTATTTTACGGTAACATTTTAAGAGTAAGACCATATTTTTTAACCCATACTAACCAATCCCCCTCTTCTCTTCCTTTTCCCGGATTTTCTGCTATTCCTGCGCTGCTTACGCCTCTCACCTTCCAACCCAACCAATCTCCCTCCCTGCCTCCTTTTCCGGCCCTTTCTGCTTCTCCTGCTCTGCTCACGTTTAGGAGGTGAGCCTGCAGGTGGATCTGGCGTGTCTCAGCATCCATACCAACCAGTTCCCCCTTCCCCCACCTCCCCTTCCCCTTTTTCCTGCCCTCCCCGCTCCTCCCACTCCAACCACCCGCAGGAGGCGAGTCGGCAGGCGGAGTTGGCGCCGCCGCGCAAGAAGACGGACGTGGCCATCGAGACCATCCGCATGATGACACTGCGCGTGATGCGGGTGAGAGGAGAGGGAAGCCATGAGGGGAGAGCAATGTGAGAGGGATGCAACTAGGAGTGGTGCCTGTGAGAATTCTCGCGAGCAACTCTAGTATAGCTGGTGATGTGGGTGATGCTAACCAGTGGAAATGAAATTATCCATGGTATGACAGGGCATTCACCATACACACTCTAAGGTACCTCTTCGTTTCAGACAGGCCTTGCCTTTCACTCCTTGTCACCTACCTTCCTGCCCCTCGCCGCACCAATTCCTTATCTCTCCCGCATTACCCATATTCACCCTCTTCCTCCCTTTGCTCCCACATCCATCTCTGCACTGCTCGCCTGCCTCATCAAAATCCCTCTCCCCCCTTCTCAGGAAAAGGCTGAAAAAAGCCGTGCAAACTCAGAGCGCCAGCTGGCAGAGGTCCGTGCTGAGCTGGAGCGGACCAAGAAGGAGCTGGCAGGCAAGGTGCGTGAGGTGGCGCGGCTGGTGGGGCAGCTGGAGCAGGAGCAGCAGCGGGCAGAGCTGGCAGAGGAGCGATTGGAGGAGATGCTGAGGGATCAGGACAGGGAGCGGGCGGAGGGGCGGGAGCGAGTGCTGCATGTGGCATCTGTGGCCTCACATAAAGCAGCAGCAGGCGGAGGAGGAGCAGCAGCAGGGGCGCTGAGTAGCCTGCCTTCCTTCGGTGGGTCAGGCTTCTCCTCGTCCTCCTCCTCACCCTCCGCTGCTGCAGCTGCAGTGGCTGCTCTGGCAGGGGGAGCGCTGGGAGTGGTGGTGGACAAGCATTTGGCGTCGCAGCAGAGCGGGGGGAGAGCGGGGGCACCAGGGGGCAATCTGGGGGTGCCGGAGGGGTCGAGGATCCTCGCCCGCATGGCGTCGCGCAGACACCCCTCGCCGCACACACCTGCCAATCACCCCACGTGGGAGGAAACCGCTGCTGCTGCTGCTGGCGGTGCTGCGGGTGGTGCTGCGAGTGCTGCTCTCACGAGCTCCCCGTCCTTCTCCTCCTCCTCCAGTCGCTCCTCGCCTGTCCCTCCCCTGCCTCCCTCCTCCATAGCGTCCCCCCCTGGCAGCAGCGGGGGTGGCATGGCGGCTGCAGCCGCGGCAGCGGTGGCAGCGATGGAGAGAGCTGAAGGCGCAGCGGCAGCAGCGGCAGGTGGGGAGGGCATGCACGACGGCGCCCACAGGGGCCATGGCGGCGCGGCGGACGCCCATCACCTGCCGTGCATTCAGGAGTCGGCGTCACGCGAGGAGGGCGAGGAGAAGAAGGTGGTTGCAGTGAGCAGAACCAGCAGCGGCGGCAGCGGCACCACGGAGTTTGGTGGCAGCAGCGGGGGGTTGAGGCAAGTGCGGTTCCCCTCCATGGGACCGGAGGAGAGCGAGGCAGAGGCCGGGTACACTCGTGCCAGCACGCTGCCCGTTGGGAGGAGCATGCTGCGGCTGCAGTCCATGGGGAAGGCCCTCAAACCTGCTGCTAACGCTGATGCTGCTGGGGGCTCTGGCAGCGCGCCCGACGGTGCGGATGCACGGTTGGCGAGGATCCGACGGCTGCAGTCGTCCAACCCGCGGATGGGTGGAGGAGCAGGGGGGGAGGGTGTTGGTGGGCCGGGCGTGCCGCGGCCGCTGGTGTCGGCCAAGTCGCTGACCCGCGACGAGGCCGTGCGCATGCTGGCGAGTGCTCAGAGGGATGTGGAGGAGATGCACAAGGTGAGGGGGTTACGTAAGGGATGGTGGATGGGATATGTTTTCTGGACAAATAACACTTGGAAGGCAGGAGAGACAAATATGTTCTCTCTCTCTCTCTCTCTCTCTCTCTCTCTCTCTCTCTCTCTCTCTCTCTCTCTCTCTCTCTCTCTCTCTCTCTCTCTCTCTCTCTCTCTCTCGCTCTCTCCCGTCCCCCCTCCCCCCTTTCACTCCCAACCCCGTTTCTCCTCTTCTGACTCACTAATCCGCTATTTCCCTCCATCTCTCCTCCCTCAACTGACTACCCACCCCCCCCGCTACCTTCTCCTCCTCCTCCTCCCTCCCCCCAACCCACCCAGCTGAAGGAGGAGAGGCGGCAGCTGCAGGTGCTGTACCGGGAGGCAGTGGCGGCAACAGAGGCGGCACTGGCAGCGGCAGCGGAGGAGCGCGGGCGGGTGGGCGAGCTGCAGCGGACAGTGGAGGGGAAGGACGAGGAGATCCGCGAGCTCACGGAGAAGAACCAGGAGCTGCAGCTCGCTCTCACCCTGTCAGTCGCCCCTGCCTTCTTGCTGCTTGCTGTGTGTGTGGTGTGTGCCTACGTGCCGTGCTGTGCTGCGTGGTAATGTTTTCTTATGGACAGTAACCAACGCACCCATGTCAGTGGGAACAAACCAAACCCACAACAAGAGTCAAGCTAGCTTGCTCCACATAGGGCTGCCCAATGCACCTGCGTGGCTGGTTGGTTGGTGGCCACCCAATGATGGGCGGGTGGGCGACCTGCAGCGCGCACTGGAGCGGAAGGACGAGGACATCCGCGAGCTCGCTGGGAAGAACCAGGAGCTGCAGCTAGCAGGTTCTGTGCTGTGCTGTGTGGTTGTGTACTGTGCTGTGTGGTTGTGTGCTGTGCTGTGTGGTTGTGTGCTGTGCTGTGTGGTTGTGTGCTGTGCTGTGTGGTTGTGTGCTGTGCTGTGTGGAACGAAAGGACGGGGAGATCCGCGAGCTTACTGAGAAACACCAGGAGCTGCAGCGCGGCCTCACCCTGTCCGTCAGCCATCACACCGTATTGGCTTGTAACCGTATTACAAGAATCGCAGATTTCCTTCGTTTCACAACCTTCTATCACTTGTCTTAAGGGTATTTGTGAGCAGATCCCCACGGCCAGAATTTCCTGCTCCCTTTCACAACCTCCAGTCGCTCGCACCTTCACCTCTCACATCCTGCTCACTATCCATTGCTCACCATCCATCGCTCACCAACCATCCATCTTTCCCCCAACTTCCATCGCTCACCAACCGTCCATCACTCCCCCACCTTCCATCGCTCACCAACCATCCATCACTCTCCCACCTTCCATCGCTCCCCCACCATCCATCACTCCCCCACCTTCCATCGCTCACCAACCGTCCATCACTCTCCCACCTTCCATCGCTCCCCCACCATCCATCACTCCCCCACCTTCCATCGCTCACCCACCATCCATCACTCCCCCACCTTCCATCGCTCCCCCACCATCCATCACTCCCCCACCTTCCATCGCTCACCCACCATCCATCGCTCCCTCCCGTCCATCCCACATCCGCCCCGCTCCACGACAATATCCCACCCCACCTGCCTACCCCCACACCACCATCGCAGCAAGTCGCGGGAGGTGCGCACGCTCAGCCAGCGGTTGCTGGCATCGCAGGCTGACAGCGACGTGGAGGAGCTGCCTGTGGACAAGCAGCAGGTGCGTGGACAAGCAGCAGGTGTGTGGACAAGCAGCAGGTGTGTGGACAAGCAGCAGGTGTGTGGACAAGCAGCAGGTGCGTGGACAAGCAGCAGGTGCGTGGACAAGCAGCAGGTGCGTGGACAAGCAGCAGGTGCGTGGACAAGCAGCAGGTGCGTGGACAAGCAGCAGGTGCGTGACCTACTGTTTTAAGAGCTCCCATCCAATCCTCATTTCACAAGTGCCATGTGTGTACCTTCTTTCCCACCCCTCAGCCCCCCTGGATGACCAGTACCACGCACCTTCTCTCCCCACTGCTTCCCAACCCTAACCCCCATTCCCCCTAGCACGCCATCCGCTTTCGTCCCTCTCTTCTCGCCCTCCCATCGTCCCCCCTTATAGGAGCTGCTGCTGTCGGAGGTGGCGAGCAGCCGCTTCCCGTTCGGCCCCGAGGGGCAGCCGGTGGCGGCGTGCATGGTGTACCGTGCGCTGCTGCAGTGGGGCGCGCTGGAGGCGGAGCGGACCAACACGTTCGACCGCATCGTGGAGGCCTTCCAGCGTGGCTCCACCGACCAGCTGCTGCCCTCGCAGGCCTACTGGCTCACCAACCACGTCGTGCTCTACTACCTCGTGCAGGTGCGTGCTCTACTACCTCGTGCAGGTGCGTGCTCTACTACCTCGTGCAGGTCCGCACATATAATGCCCTGCGAGTCCATTTATTTTGACACAACTTATGGCTGGTACCAAGAGTAAGTGCGTTAATAACCCCTATAGTTGGTAGGTACTAGACATAGGCAACGGGCGAACACCAAAGATGTTCGGTTTTCCCTGAACGAACATGTGAAGGGGGCGAAGCGAACATGTTCCCGAACCTTTTTTTGGGATTTAGGGTGTTGGAGGTTCGTGATACGGGGCGAACATCTGCATGTTCGGGGCGAACCCAAACATGTTCGAGGTTCGGAAGTGTGTGTTCAGTGGGCCAGCTCCTCCCCCGTCGCCTCCATCTCCCTCCCTTCCGAACATCAAACGTGTTTGGCCGAACATTTTTTGACAAAAGACATGTTTGGTTCGGTTCGGTCACAAACATGTTCGGGCGAACCGAACAGGTATTAGGAGATTTACTCATGTCTAGTTGGTACTAAGTGTAAGTGCATTACTCACACTCATGGTTGGTGGTTGTGTTGCACACTTGTATTTAGTACCAACTGCAAGGGTAAGTAAAGCACTTACACTAAGAACCATCCATAAGGGTAGGTAACGCACTTACATTTAGAACTGTTTGCCTGGACACCTGCGTGACTAGAGCTGCGCGGGTACGCATTGGAGGTCGCAATCACCATTTTCCGACCTGATTTTCGAGCACGTCCCCACCTAATTACCATTTCGTCCACGATTGTCTGATCCCGACAATTTTGAGGAATATCATGAACTAACAAAATCGCCGACCCGCCACAATATTAAAAAGCGACAGGTCGGTCGATCCGATTTGCCATCAGGTCGACCCGACCCGCCTTCGAACCACAGCCGACCCACGCCTATAAGTCCGAGTCGGGTCGAGTTTCCGGGGGTTCTTACCTCGGGTCGGGTCCGCCCGACCTGACCCGGTACCCGCCTCGGGTCGAGCATAGGCATGGGCATTTGGCTCTGCCCGGCCCGACTTGGCCGGGCCAAGCGGGTTCTCGGGCCGGGTCGGGTCGGGTCAGCCTCGGGCCAGGATGTTGAATATCCTGACCCGACCCGGGGGTACAGACAGGGCCAGGTCTTTCCTGACCCGACTTTGGGTCCGGCCGACCCGAGGTCGGGTTGGGTCAGGTAACCCGCTTTCGCCCATGCTCTGTGCTGATCGGCGCTTTCGTCCGCCGATCTGCACAGATCGGCGATTTCGTTGGCGTAACTGTGCAGATCGTCAATTTCACTGGTTGATCAGGGGATCGGGATTTTTGTTAGAATATAGCATATGTCAGTTTATAATGGTGCAAGTGTTACACCCAATGTGGATGTACACTTTGGACCAGGTTTGGTTGGTTGCACCCCAAACCCACTCGACCGCAATTAAAGGGGGAAACCAACTTGGCTGGTTCATCCAACCATTATTCCCCCCCCCCCCCCCCCCCCCCCCCCCCCCCAATTATTGACAGTCAGCCCAAAGTTGGTGACCATTCTTATTAATCCACCAATAATGCTTTGGGTACCTCTCCAAGTTACCCTCACGTTTCTCTCCTATATGTACCCACGTTTTTCTTGACATAAACTCTTGAATTCATCTCTCTTTTCAACCATGAGATTCTCACAATTTTTGCCGATGATTTACTCACCCTGGCACTAGCTTCCAACAAACTTTGTTGGAACAAACATTTCCAACCAATTCGCTACAGCTCACCACTCCTTACCGCACTAAATCTACAATTCGCAACCCCCCCTCCCACTCTTTACAGATCTCTCGACATTGAGTCTCTCCATATAGTCGACTATTTAATTGTCGCATCATTCTTTAGCTGCAAACTTTAAGGTTCCTAGGTGCCATTGATTGCTGAAGAAAGGAACTTAGGTTTGTGGGAAGGAATTGATGTCGAGTAGATAAAATAACCCTCGACATCCATGTGTTGGAGTGTCCTGTCCCCCCTGTGTCGAAATCGGGTCGGGTCAGTTGTGACCTGAAGTCGGGTCAGGTCAACGCGGGCCAAAGGCCCGGCCCGAGTTCCCTGCTCTGGTCGGGTTTTATCCCGGGTCGGGTCGGGCCGACCTGCCCGGGGCATGCTATTTAAACCCCTGACCCGACCCGGGCAAAATCACGCCCGACCGACCCGAGCGGGCCTCCTGCTTATGCCTAGTCGAGCAAACGGTTTGAGTCTGGTCGGGTCGACCCGTTGCCCATGGCACCTGGTGTGCAAGCCCCCAATAGCAAGACATCCTTCCGTTTCCCTCCCGCCGCCCCTCTTTACCCTGAGCTGCTGTGCACAGCCCTCACCGGCAGCAACAGCTAGCCACGCTGCCCGTAAACACACTCTACAGCTGCTGTGTCGTCCTCCCCTCCCCACACCGCCTCTGCCCCCAGGTGGTGTACCAGCCGCCAGTGGAGCAGCCCGCCCAGGAGAGCTTCTCCTTCTCCTTCTTCGGCATGGCCTCCCGCCCCGCCGCTCCTGTCAGTGCCCCACCCTCTCACATCCCTCCACGCTCTCACATCCCTCCACCCTCTCACATCCCTCCACCCTCTCACATCCCTCCACCCTCTCACATCCCGCCACCCCCACACATCCTTCCACCCTCTCACTCCCCTCCACTCTCTCACTCCCCTCCACTCTCTCACTCCTCCACCCTC